TAGGGTTTGGGGTTTAGGGTTTTCTACTCCAGCGTACTTTAAGCAGTTTTTGAAATTTTGAAGGCCCCAATATGAGACAGAACCCCTAACCCACGACGGAAAACAAAGTGCCCTTCTCAGCTCAGAGCCCCAGAAAGGGGCTTCCCACGCGCTGGTGCATGAACACCTGGGAAAACAGTTTTGGGTGAGAATATCACTAAGAAGCGTGCAGGTTCGATTGCTGCCACTATGGAACTAGATTCTAAGACCATAAATGAGGTATGGTATCTGGACGCCTGATTCCATCATTGTAGTACAAGGAACCTGTTTGGGGAAATGACTATCAATGATTACCAACAATGAACTTCAGAGTGGCTAAGTAAAAAACACAAGACTACTATCAAGAGTTCTCTTTGTTAACATGTTAACATGTGTAATAAATGCACACCTAAGCCATAAAGCCTTAATCCCTGAACCCTAAACTCCAAATTNNAATTCTGAAAAAATCAAGACTAGGTTTCAGGGTGGGAAGTTTAAGGCAAACGCTTCCTTCCCGAAAGCTCATTGTCGTTTTCGCTTACTTAAACGTTTAAGGATGTTCAGGGTTAAGGGCTTAAGTTTGGTTAGGGTTTAGGGTGTCCGCTGACACCCAGATGCCTGCAGCAGCATGTTGCCTCAAAGCCTAAAGCCTAAACCCTGAACCCCCAAACGGTAAAACCTAAACCTTTGACCCGTCAAAGACCCTATCCCTGAAACCCTACCCCTTCAACGCTACTGGGACGTGACAAAAAAACTTCTAAGCCACGTTTACACATGCGCTTATCTGGGTTGTAGTTTGGGGGCCCTTAGAAGTACTTATGAATAGGTATCCCTATGGGTTTAGGGTCTTTTGAGTACCTCGGTAGCCGTGCATCCTGCACGAACCCCTGGCGCAAAACCTTTAGCCCGAAAACTAAATCCTGAATATCCTGCCCCCTTTAGGTTTGGCCTACTTACCAAGTCCCATCCTTGAAGCACACCCCAAAACTCTTACCCCGATCATTTTGAAACGACGACAAGGAATATCATTACCCATTGAAAGACAAACCTGCAGCCTAAACAGTAGCCGAGACCTCGTAAACTCTCTGCTACAGTAACCGGGCACCAAAAAACTTCAAACTTTGCAAGATAGACCTTTTTGTGTACATACATATGCCCTAAACCCTGAACCCCAAACCCTTACATAAGAGGCCAAAAAGTTTTCAGTTACCCCATTGGCTATCTAAGTAAAGCTTGAAGGCACCCTATACTTCACGTAAAACTTTAGAACTAAACGTAACTAAGCCGTGCCCTAAGGCCTAAACTCTGAAGCTTAAGATGATGTAGGCCCCGACTAAGAAACCTCTCTCCGTCAAAAGCGAAATAGAATGCGGATCGGGGGTTAGGGTTTAGGGTTTAGGGCTTCGGGTTTAGGGCTGAGGGCTCAGGGTTTACAGGGTTTAGGGTCTGGGGCTTAGGGTTTAGGGCTTAGGTCCATGATGTTCGGGGCAAGAAACGGATGCTGTTTGTTGACGAGGGGTCTACACCATGCTAGGGTTTAGGGTTTAGGGTTTAGGGTTTAGGGTTTAGGGTTTAGGGTTTAGGGTTTAGGGATTCAAATGGAGAAGCCAGAGTTATTAGCCACAATATGTTTCATCTTCCTTGTTATATTCTCGCCCAATCACCTATTCCAATTATTAACGCCCCCAATATACTAGAACCCTTATAGCAGCAACCCTTCATAGAATCCCGTTAAAGAAGCCTCAGTCTAACTACTAGGGCCCCTAGTGGACCAACAAATCCCAGCTCCTCATAAAAAGCCCATTTCAGGAATCCTTTAAAGGAGCCCTTACAGGAGCCTGCTAAAATTGTCCCACAATATGCCCCCAAAGCCCTATTCTGCTATCAGGGCCTTTCAACCCTGAACCAGAAACCCAAAGCCCCGGAACCCTAAATCCTAAACCCTAAACGCTGACCGGTACCCGAAACCCTAAACCCCATGCAAACCCAACGCCCGAGAGGCCTGAAGAGCTTCGGATGCGAGGTCAGAGTTGTTGACCTGAGCTTCTCCGGTTCAAAGAGTCGGCTTAGGGCTTACCTGGACCCCAAAGAACCTACTTTTTTAGGGTTCCTTACTATGATTTCCTTATAAAAGTCCTGAAAACAGTAGGTTCTTTGGGGTTAAGGTAGGGTTTAGGGTTTTGTTGGTGTTAAGAGGGGGTTGGGGCTTGTGGGTTTAGGGCTTAAGTACAGGGAAATGAAGAAGGTTATAGAGGATGAGTGCAAGCGTTCCCCATTTTCTACATAAAAGGCCATCGGGATCATGATGTTCCAACCTTGTGCTTCCACGTTAAAGGTTTTGCACGCATAGGGATTCTAGGATCAGGGGTTTGGTTTGGGGTGCAGGGCTTGGGGATCTGAGTACGGGTTGAGTGAATGGGGCCAGGGATTTGTAACCGAAGTTACATACCCTAAGGGTCCATGTACCCAAATAGTACATAGCTTCGGCCTTAAAGTAGCTCCTGCCTAGGTACTTTGGGGCCAAAGTATGTAATGTTTGGGTACCTGGACCATTAGGGATAATTCTAAAGAGCACCAAGGCGCATATGTGACACAGCTTTGAGAATGTGGGGTTTAGGATTTAGGATGTACACAGTTTGAAGAAGCCTAGGTCGAAAGATATGCCTTCCAGGGCTTAGGTGACGGGATCGGTAAAAGTATTTGGAGGTTGGTGCAAAGTTTCTTGCTGGTTGCTTGGCCATGGACCCCTGCTTGATAAAACCACACCTACCTGTAGAAGATATATGTATCATGGGTGCAAAACCCAGCCACTATAGACCTGCAACGTGGTACCTTTTTTTGGTCACCTTCTTTATAGTTCTAGGATCCCAACCAGGTCAGCCAACACAAGATACTACCCTGACCCCACACCCTACACCCCAAACCCCAAACCTTAATAGGTAAGCTAAGCCTTGCAGGCAAGCGACGGGGAAGGGGCCCCCAACCGCCATCACCCAGGTCTTCCAGCCTGGTGGAGAACGGAGCAGGAGCTAAGGTCCTGGTGCTCTCTGGGTTCTTGTCAAGGAACTTAGTTCAAGTCACCGAAACCAGGATCTATGGTAAGTAGTCGGGTTTCCTCATTATGGAAGTCTTCACAAGAATCTATTTTTGAACCCTTGGTTCATCAACTCCATCAAATCATAATGAGCCCCTAATACAAGACAAGGGCCTCGAAACAGAGGGGCAGGGGGTTCATTAAGAGCTGCTGCCACTGCACTCGCCGAAACCCTGCAAATGCCATCAAGTACTGGCGGGGGGGGGGGGCGAGGTACCGTAGCCGCGGCACCGGGGCATGCGATACTGATCCCATTAGTGTGGTCCCGCAGTTGATGTTGAAATGTGCTGTCCGCCAAGCACAGCAAAGGGCCCCTACTGTTGATGATATAACTCCTGCATTACCTTAAGGACCCTAAGCTATGGGAACTATGGTATACTCCTTATTACGGGTAATGCAGGATTTATATCCTCAGCCGTACGACCTAAACCCTAAACCCTAAACCCTAAACCCTAAACCAAAAATGAACCAACATCTTTAACCATCCCCTGGGCTGACGCCATGACAACATGAGAACCCAGAGCCTCCAAAACCCCTTAGTTAATGAATCTACCGCCTATTCTAATTTAAGTTTAGGGTTTTGGCTTAGGGCTTAGGGTTTAGGGTTTAGGGTTTTAGGGTTTAGGGTTTAGGGTTTAGGGCCTTAAATCATATTAGGGATCCTATTATAATTTAAGGTATATTCCTTAATTAAGGGATATTGGAGTCTTTGAGAAACAACTCCTGAGAATAACCAACCACGACACTCCGACGCCCCCCTGAAAATCAGGCCAAGCACCTCAAGTACCTTAGAACTCTGAACCCTAAACCCCTAAACCCCTAAACCATAGACCCTAAACCCTAAACCCTCAACCCTAAACCCTAAACCCCCAACCCCTAAACCCTAAACCCTAAGCCCTAAACCCCAAACCCTGCGCTCCAAGACCGCGAAGCTGCACAACATACTGTGCCTTCGATCCAGCAGATGACTTCCTCTCGCACCTTAGCCAGACATGGGTATTTATCTAAACTAGGGTCCCTTTTTAGCTCCCCAATATAGCAAGGCACCCTTTTAAAAAGGACCCTAAAAGGGACCCTACTTTAGAGAACCCTAAACCCTTCACCCGAAGCCCTAAACCCTTCCACCCTGAAAGAACCCAGCCTGGAGCGAACCCTGAAACAATCGTAGGCTGCCGAGTCTAGGTTTCCCAGACTCTGTTTTAGGACTCACACTTCAGGGTCCTAAACCATAAACCTTAAACCCTAAACCCTGAACCCTGAACCCTAAACCCTATTTAAGGCTCAAGGCTTTGAGGGCCTCAAGGTCTAACCCTGAGGCTGCCCTGAACCCCCAAACCCCCAGCCCTAAACCCTAAACTTACACCCCTAAACCGTGGGGTTTAGGGTTTAGGGTTTAGGGTCGTAGACTTAAGCTCTAAACCCTCAACCCTTCATAAAAAGCTTATACAGAGCCGATAAGCTTGGGTTGTTTTTAAGTTTCGGGTTTAGGATTTAGGGCTGTGGGCCTTCATTGTAAAGAGTTGGGTTTTGAGCATATACTTATAAAAAGGAATGCTGAGGAATGAAATCTGTAGTTGAGGGTTCAGGGCTCAGGGCTTATAGGGTTTATAAAGCGTACGGGCTTACAGGGCTTCGGGCCTAAAGGGTTTAGGGTTTGCAGGGTTTAAGGGGTTTAAGCTTTAGGGTTTATAGGGTTTAGAGTTTAGGGTTTTTCAAGGTTTAGAGTTTACGGTTTCTCTATCTTATGACGTTTAGGTTTGGGTCGGGAGGGCGCGTGCTGCCTCTGCAGCCTCATCGGCACTTTAGGCGAGGGGTTAGGGTAGGGTTTAGGGTATACCTTAAACTACCACAACGTACTTTCTGGCAGGTTCCTATTGTAAACCCTAGTTTAGAAGTTATGGGGAGTTTACGAAACATAGGTTTTGGTAGCTCAAGGTAAGGCATCGGGTCTCATGGCCGAGGAGACGCAGATTTAACAAAAGGCTTTCGGGCCCAAAGACCGCACATCATCAGGCTTTTAAACCATTTTGAAACCCTAAACCCTAAACCCTGAACACAAGGCCTGGGCTCTGGAAGACGAATCCTGAGACCGCCTTGAGACACCATCCACCTTTCCCAGCGCCTGCTTAATGTAGGGGCTATTTGCCTATACTATTTTGGGGGCTCCGTATTGTAATTATGGTATAAAAGACCCCGAAACCCTATTCTGATTATTAAGGCCCCTAAATTATTACTTCCATGCTGCCAAGTTCAAGCTGTCCAGCTCTGCTCATTCAGAAGCATGAAGCGGCAGCAGATATGTCCGCTGGAGGGCGTACTGCATAGCAATATCGGTCTCACTCGGCAAGCAGTCTTGTGGGACCAAGCGGCCTTTGTGGTGGGAATGAGCCCAACCCAAGGGTTTAGGGTTTAGGGTTCCAGACTCTTATTCATCCTGGATGGTACAAGTTGCGACGTAGGCCACATACTCCATGTGCACCATGTCTTTGTTCCACCAAGCATCCTCCATGCTCGCGACTCGGCCATTGTAAAGCAGCATCGTGCTAGGTACCTAGGTTTTTGCTTTGGGGTAGTAATTGTAGTCCTCGCTGCCCTTCTGTGGCGATAGCTTCATACAGCTCCCGCTGGTCTTAAACCCACTGCGAAGCGCACCCATACCTGCATGCGCGAGCAGAAAATTTCAGGATTTTGGGTTTAGGCTCCGCCTGTAACTCTCAGGTCATTACCTTACAGTTTAGCAGCCATTACCTGAAACCCTAAGCCTAAACCCTAAACCCTAAACCCTAAACCACCCCTTCATTGGTAGGTCGAACCCACAAAGCTGTAGATAATGAGAGTCCAAGGAGCGAAAGTCCCAGCCAGACGAGACAGGCAGCAGCATAAGATCCGGTACCCTAAACCCTAAACCCTAAACCCTAAGCCCTAGGGTTCAGGGTTTAGGGTTTAGGGTTCAGGGTTTAGGGTTTAGGGTTTACGGCTCTAATCTACTAGGATAGGTAGATAGATCGACAGGTGTATACATATGTAACTATACACATACATACATACATACATACATACATACATACATACATGCATGCATGCATGCATGCATGCATGCATGCATGCATGCATACATACATACATGCCTGTGTGGATTTACATATATGGCCGTTTTTGCGCGTTGATGGGCTCAACCGTTACATGGATGCTTGTCGCCTTTGGCTTAGGGTAGTGAGATCTAGTGAGTATGTATTCGTAGGTTTTAAGTACTGCTACAAGTATCCGTGGCCATATCACACTAGGAGTCCTACTCATCAGATCACCGTACTGTAATTTCCAGGTACTTGGCCCTAATCCCGAAACCCTAAACCCTACTGGAAAGTGGGAACATCAAATAGGCAACGCGTGCCCTGAACCTCCAGGGAAGCCCCAAAAACTGTTTTCTTACTGGATGGGCCTATATCAGAATAGGGTTGTGGGGGGCTCCTTATTATAATTGTAGTATAATATACCCCCAAACCCTATTCTGATTCTTAAGGCCCCACCAATGTACAAACCCCAATTAACCTATTGTAAACGGTCGATAAGCAAGCGGAAACCATGAACCAGAAACTTTAAGCCCTGATTAGGCCTGTGCCCGAACCAAAACCCTAAACCCCTAAACCCCTAAGCCCTAAAACGTCCTAAACCCCAAACCCCTACAGTGGCTGGGCTCCCGGGTCCCGGACCAGCAGCTCTTCATCGGCTCGTGCCGCTCTGCACGTGTCAAAGATCCACTCCTGTCTAAGGTTGAGGGTTCAGGGTTCAGTGTTTAGGGTTTAGGGTTTCGGATTTAGGGTTTAGGGTTGACGGTTTAGGGTTTAGGGTTTCGGGTTTAAGGCTTAGGGTTCAGGGTTCAGGGTTTAGGGTCGGGGGTTGAGGGTTTTGGGTTTAGGACGGCCCGTAGTTCGGGTCCGCCCCTGCGCACGGTACACACGACCCCAAACCTTAGGATCTTCTCAAAACTCCTTAAACGGAGCCTTCCCAGAGACTTCAAAACCCCGTTAATAAAGGAATATACCGTAAACTTATAGCAGGATCCCCAATATGATCTGAATCTAAGGTATACTCCTTGATTAGGGGGTTTTGGAGTATGATGGTTGAAGCACGCATCGCTTGCCTTAAGTTCGGGTCCGCTCCTGCACCTCCGGATCAAAGAGGTCGAAGTTGTAGTCATAGTCGGGCGCCGACTTGTTGTCCACCTGTGAGAACTTCACAAGCTTTCATAGGGATTTTGGCAGCTGTTAGGATTGAGGGTGTGTTTTTAGAAAGTTTCACAGGTGTGTTTGCAAAGTTTGTTCTACGGCTCTATACGATGTGTACGTGGCCTTTTTAAATCGTGCTATATAGGGGCCTTAATGATTAGAATCGGGTTTTGGGGTATGTTATACTATGGTTCTGATAAGGAACAGTACATTATACTAAAGTTATAATAGGGAACCACCCAAATGGTATCCTAAACCCTAAACCCTAAACCCTAAACCCTACCTAAACCCGAACCGTATTGTTAATGATTTAGGCCCCTATAGTAAGAGGGGCCGTGGAGGGTCAGGGCTCCCTTGGTGAAGCCTCTGGGGCCCAAAGACCAACAGGACCCCTAGAGTGTAAGGTTTAGGGTTTAGGGTTTAGGGTTTAGGGTTTAGGGTTTAGGGTTTAGGGTTTAGGGGCCTAAATAATTACCAATACTTTTTATTTATTATTATTTATTTTTTTTTTTTTTTTTGGGGG